GTACATTATTCGCTACATTTCTCTGTGGATCTTGCGTTCAATATATCTTGTAAGTGTCAAAATTTCGAAGCCCTCTTTTCTCGTTATGTACACTAGAAATTTCAACTGCCTCTTTCTGGTGTTAAATTTAAGTCTTCTATTTGTTTCCATTTTTTCATTCTATAGAACCGCATTTCTGTTGTGTCAAGTGTCCTCTTCATCTGCAAAGACATTGTTCAGCATCCACTGCCTTATAGATGAACCGAAAATTATTAATAAAAACAATAATCGATATATTCGTCACACAAGCCATAGATGATTTTGCGTAATTCTACGAGCAGGCCATGACATTTCCTTCACTCCATCAGAATGGTAGCTCTTTTTTCTATTCTTTGAAAGATAATTAAAAGTTTAAATTTTGTTAGATGCTTGACATGAAATTACAACAGGCTACATTTCATTTATCTATTAAAATGAACAATTTTTTTTATAGTAAGGTAAGACCTGGGGCCAGTCAAGGTAGAGGGTTACATTAAAGGGTAGTTTATATGAATAGTAGGGTAAGATAGACTTGAACAGGTTAAGGTTATAGTGATCGGGGAAACATCATCTAGGGAATCTGTTCCACAGTGTAGTAGTTTTCGGAAATAAGTTGTTTGAGTGGAACTTTTCACCAAGGAAATGTGGGTGGTTTGTTACGTATGTATGTAGCATGGCGTGTCTTAGGCGTACAGGATTGACTTAGCGGAACCAAAGAATGTAAATCGTCGGTGTACTGTCCATGGAATTATCCATAGAGCAGTGAGAGACTCACCATATCCCGCGTCTGTGAGAGAGTGGTTGGAGTGTAGAAAATAATTCTTCTCCAAGGAGGACTCGGAGTCAGTCCCTTTTGAACTCCATCAAAATCTGGAAAGTGAGGTCTAGGCAGTTCCTGCCCAAATAGGGCAACAGTACTTCATTTCAGGGCTGATCTGGTTCTTATAAAGGTAGATGATAGTGTGAGGAGTCAGGTACTTACTAGGGGCACCGGAAGCCAATCAAGACTGGAAAGTGAGGTCTAGGCAGCTCCTGTCCAAATAGGGCAACAGTACTCCATTTTAGGTCTGATCTGGTTCTTATAAAAGTAGAGGATAATGCGATGAGTCAGATCCTTTCTAGGGGTACTGGAAACCGATCATTTTACCTGTATCTTTAGCGATAGATCTTATATAGCAATTCCACTTGAGGTCGGATGTGAGTTTTGAGGCCCAGTATTCTATCAAGGCATGGTGCCTCTTCGAGGGGATATCCGGATATGACTGGCGGTAGTTTGGGATCACGTCGACGGTGATAGAATGTAAATAGTTTAGTTTTAGGGACATTGACTCTAAACAGCCAGTTTCTTCCCCATTGGGTAGCCAGTGTTAGATCGGAAGAGAGGTCAGCTGCCAATCTCTAATCGTCAAAACTTTTAGAGGTGGGCCCGTATATTGTCATATCATCGGCATGGATGTTTACAAATGATCGTAGATTCTTAGGCAGATAATGTATGTAAATCAGAAAGAAGGTTGGTTCGAAAAGTGATCAGGAGACGCCTGCGTTGATCGTCAGGTAGTGGGAATTCAGGCCATAAATGACTACCTTCAGGGATCTACATGTTAGTGAGTAATTTATAATCGAGAAAAACCTTTCAGTGATTCCATAGCTGGAGAGCTTGTGTAGGAAACCTTTGTACGACACCTTGTCGAAGGCTTTCAGGATATATATATATATATATATATATCGGATATAACACCAAAATTGTCCAAATCGTTTAAAAATAATAACTGACCATCCCACAAAATGTTTAATATCTAAAAAAACACTAAGCTAACTTTTTTTCAGGATTTTACATAAGACGTTTAGGCATCTTGACATCATTTGTCGTAAGAATCATTGAAAAACCCTTTGAGATATTCAGTTACAAAGACCACAGGTTAAAATCGTTTTGTGTCAGACCCACTATGTCTACCCAGCAGAGGAAAAAGATCATTCAGGTTTTTAGAAATGGTAACAACATTCATACTCTGGCTTCCATCTTGAAAGTCCATTCAAGAACCATCAAGAGAACGGGGAATAGGTTTAAAAAAGAGGATACAGTAAAGAGGAAAACTGGATTAGGAGGTCACAACAGCAAGAGGGACCATCATTTCAATTTAGATCTAAATACATTCTTATTGCTCAAAGTAGAGTCCAGTAGAGTGGGGAGAATTCCAGTAAGTAATCATTAATCATTTCTAAGATACAATGTTTCAAATCTTAATCTCACAGTTGGACAATATTGCTGTTACACGATTTTGACAATTTTGCTGTTACAGCTGGTATATATATATATATATATATATATATATATATATATATATATATATACGTGTGTGTGTATGTATGTCAGCAGATCATATTCAAGAGGTCAAGCAACGTATGAATTAACTTTCCTCAGTTTTCGTATAGCATAACGGATATCGTGTTAAAGATTGTATAAAAGTTTTTGTGCCTATTTTTACTAAATCTTTCAGCTATCATTGACTTCTTTTCCAGAGGGGGATGCTTAAAGTAATCTGGAAAAAAGTTTTTGAGATTTTGTTGATATATATCTCACTATCTTTTCACTGCCTCCCAATACGCGTACCGTTTTGCACGCGGGCATACCTCAGACATACGGCTATCGAAAATCTGAAGACAAAGTCCTGTTCATCAGCACCAGAGTGAAACTAGAAAAAGAAAGCAATAGAAACTTGAGAGAAGAGTAACAAAATAACTAAAAATGTTAGAAGGAAGGGAATGAAAAATATGACAAAAGTAGATGAAGACCGAGGGTGTAAATGTTTAAGAAAGGACAGAAAAATAGTTTGCTTAGAGGAATATGTTATAATGTTTGCAGAAATAATTTCTCCGAAAGGAAGAAAGTTACATGAAATGAAGACTGAGAACAGTGTGCAAATAGTTAACATGGAGAAATATAAGAGTAAGATTAATGTATACAGTGATGGCTACCATTAAAAAATTTCAAATAATAATAAAAAAACGATACAGAGAGAAAAAGTCTGAAAAGTTACGTGCCGGCGATGCTATCATAGAAGTGGATTTACGAGGATAAACAGGAAGCTGTAAAAAAAGTTGACTAATATAAATCTAGCAAAATGAAAAAGGGACAACCAGAGAGAATATAAAACAAAGTCTTGTAACAGAATAATCTTTGTACAGCAAGTTATCTATAGATGACTAGGCATATTTTCTGAAATTGAATTTAATATCAATCAGGCACATTGGTTTGAGAATAGAATGCTCTATAGTAATCGCGATATGTAACGGCTTCATCCTAAAAAGTGCCAAAGTGAATTTGGTGCTCTGTGACATGTCAAAAAGATCAAATGTTCAAATAATGAATTAACACCACATACTCTCGATTCGGCTGACGTTCATTTGTTAATTTGAATAAGCAATTATTTTTACGTGTAAACAGTTAAGTCTCGTCATCTGATCGGCCGTTACCAACCTTAAATAATCAGGCATTATGGATCAGTAAGAAAAAAATAAATATTACGCGGATGTAGGAAGAAAAATAATGATATAATTAAGATGTTGTCTTTCCACAGCACCACTTGTTATGACGATAAACTACATCCGGCAGCAAGGACACAGATCGCGAGATTGGCGGTTTTGAGGATCGGGGAAACACCTCCTAATTGCTTTTGTCTCTAGTTCCACCTTTACCAGGGGTTGTTATGTTCTCAACTATTGGCAAATAGTGTGACCTCAAACAAAAACAAAACACCATAAAAATATATAAATACATTTTTATAGTAGAGAGACCAGTAACCTATATTTATATCAGAAAAATTGCCAGCAATACATATAATAGAAATAGCAACAATACATTTTAAAGCAAAATAATCAACAATACATTTTATCCGTAGTTGAAGCCATGGAATTTTGTTCAAGGTATTTAGATTTCAGCATTAAATAATCCGTAGTTGATATATCACTAAAGAAAATCAGCCAACAAATCACATACCATGTACTCAATTGTGAAATCAGAATAATATATATTATAGCTTTATTATTGCAATATGAGCACTGGTAAAAAATTGATGGATGATGATAACTGACATCCATTAAACATGGCACGTGGAACTAGAACAGTGAGCGAAATAAAGGGTTCAGTTCGACATTCCAAACACCTGAAGAAGGTCGGAGCGTACAATTGCCAAAACGTTGTAATAAATATGTCGAAAAATATGAGGACAATAATCAGAATAATGTAAATAGTGTACTCATAGAATATATTGCTGGTCATTTTATATAAACATGTATTTTTATAATTTCATCGTGCTTTGTTTTTGTTTAGGGTGTTCATTATTTTCCATAGTTGGACCCTAACAGACACTAACGCCCCAGGTCAGAATTAATCCTAGAAAAAACACCAATTATGGGGTAGTTCAACGCTCTTCAAAAGTCCAATCTTCAGATTAGACGTCTTGCTGCCGGATATAGTTCATCGTCTTACCCAGGACTAACATATTCGTACGATATTTAGACAGACATGGTGATAATAAGCAAATTGGTATTTCCGTCAAGATAATTTTCACGTTTATTTATATTTCTTAGTCTGGCACAAGGTGGCAATTCTCAGGATTTTAATGCAATGAACCGAGATCCCCGAATGTAGGTAATAATATTAAATGAATAACTGAATATAAAGCAATCGTGAATAGTGTGCTTAAATCCCTTTGTTGTTTCCTTCGCTCATTCATTTTATTTATTGTTTAACTTTCCACAATGATTTTGGAAATGTTTTACGTAGGAATCAAGAAATTGGACTGGAAGCAAAAAGGGAAAATTCATAGAAAATAAACAAATGAACTTTAAGAAATTGAAGTCGGTGCTTACAAAGCGAAGCGAAGTTGTCACCATCCATTGCGTCAGAAAGGATTAGGTTAAGCCCATTGGAACGTATTGCTGACTAGCTGACACAGAGTTTTTTTTATCATTTAGGAGGAATGGGAATCCATTTCTATACGTTGGAATGCAAATGGAAATAAAATTCGGAAAATTTGCAATCTTGTAAAGTTTGTGACGCTAGATCCGTTCCCATCACGTCCGCACCCATAAAGAAGTGGACACGTGCGGTCTGGATGTGTGTGCAGGCGTGCATTGATGTTGATTGGACTAAAAGTTAAAGCCATTTCCATTTGGCAAAGAATCGGAGTTATTAGGATGAAGAGTTATTGCGATAAACTCATGGGATGAACAGTCAAATTATAAAAATATGTAAATATATGCAATTCAGGAACAGAAAAAAAAGAAACACCACACTCATATATAAGTACATATCTATGTGTGTATAGGTACGTATTTCTCTGTGTGTTTCGCTACGTTTTCTTTGTGTGTGTCCGTGCGACTTTGTCTAGGCCTGCTTCGTAATACATATTCCGCAGGTCTAGATTCCACCAACGAAAAATGGATTTAGTAAGTGATTTTATGTGAGCTCCGAGTCATTTATCCTTATATACATACGAACTTAAACATATATTTCAATACGCAAACACATATCTATCTATCTATCTATCTATCTATCTATCTATCTATCTATCTGAGACTCTTCTTATCTATATCTATCTATCTATCTTTGTTCATAGTCTATCTATCTATATACGCATCTGTCTCAATATCTTTATCTATCTATCTATCTATCTATCTATCTATCTATCTATCTATCTATCTATTCAAGTCTCTTCGCATCTATATATCTATCTCAGTTTGTTAATATCTATCTATCTATCTATCTATTCAAGCCTCTTCGCATCTATCTTTCTTAGTTTGTTAATATCTATCTATCTATCTATCTATCTATCTATCTATCTATGTGTGTGTATGTGTGTATATAGAATCCTGTTTTCGGGGATGATTCCATTTTCCAATAAACGTGGGATTTCATCTTAAACGAGAGGCAAGTTAAAGAGCTTATAAAAATAAGCACTTTGAGAAACGAATAAATTACTTGCTTTTATTATGAGTGCATTAAGCGTAGCATAGATATGGCACAAGGTATGAAGCCCCCAATGAAGTTCGAATTCACTGTTCGTTCGTAATTGATCTCGTGAGACAACTTTGCTAACCATTACACCACATGGAAGGGATTTTCTAAGTGTAGTTTAAATGTGTCACAAGGCCGAGCGTATGAGGCTTCGAGTAATAATCGAACTTATATTCGGTCGCAATTGAACTAGCGAGACAAGTTTGTTAACCATTACACCACATCGAAGGTGATTTTCTAAACGGAGATTATTTGTCACACACATCCTAGAGTAAGGTCTTTAAGGATCTGGGTCATCATGACTCGGAGGCACGGTAGAGTAATGGATGGCGGCTTGGATTGAAGAATCAGAGAGCCTAGTTAGAATTGCAGTCTAATCCATTACATTCACTTACGTGCTAATAGCCTTGGGAAAGGTATGAATCCTTTTCTTCTCCCTCCCCAGCTATGGGTAAATAGCAGGATGGTCTACCTCAGAAAGAAATGACAACCTACTGCGGGAAAAACCTGCCTCGTCAGTCAGGATTGCCTAAGCGCGTATTGCAACACACCAGAAATAATCGTGTCAATATGAAAGAAATTAATGAGAGAATCACGTATTTACACAGTTTTATGAATGCGTGTAATTTTCCAGCGGTCGGAAGTTAACAAATGCGAGCAGCGTCATTAACGCCATTAATATTTTATGTTGGTATAACTCCGTTCTTATGTTTTTACGTGTTGCTTCATTTACTTTAAAATCGGGAGGTTATTGCAAGAAGTTACTCAATAAAATATGTGAGAGGTTGAGTAATTAATTATACGAAAGTTGCGAGTAATTAGATTGTACCCAACGCTGGTCAAGGATTTACCGAAAACGGAAAAATGACTATACGCGACCAATATTTATAGGACAAGATTGATCAAGGAAGCTAAAATTAAATGTACTAAACTCAGAGGTTTATTTGTTAATAAATATTCTTCCCAATTTTTAAATATCTATTTTTTTTATGAGGGAAAATATTCTTGATCATTTTTTCGAGTGATCTCTCAAATTTCGTAGCAGACAAGAATTATGGTTGTCTGATTTATGAAACGTCTAAGAGCGTTTTGTGATAACTTCGCTGACTTGATTAATAAATGCTAATGTGAAAATTCAAATTGGAGCCTACTTTTTAACATAAATGTGTCAACTTCTGTGTGAGCCGATCTTGGTATGGAATTGTGATTCTTAGTGATATTGTTTGAATCTACTGAATTTTTCAACAATTTTTAACGGGCTTCTATGCGTGTGTCACAGGTCAAGCTGTCGCTTTTCCCTGCAACCACATATTCTGTATTCTTATGTTTACATGTTTTTTCCCTCTTTGGTGTTCTTTCTGCTTTCTTTACGAGTCTGCCATCAACACAAATATGTTTATTGTTCAGATCATCGCCGCCAATAATAAATCTTGGTAAGACTTCTCGTTCTCTTAGGATCCTTTCGCTGTACAAATGAAATAAATTCGGAAAGAAAAAGCATCATTATTTTACTCTACTTTCTAATACTTTCTCTATTTAAGTTATTTGTTTCATATAATGGTTATGGATTACTTGAATATCTTTCCAGATAAAAGAAGCTTTTGTAATATATCAGGAAGCTCAATTGTTTGTATAATGTATGAAACACAAGTATTAGGTCTCTCTGCATTTTCATCTTTTAATCATTTCACCCCAAGCAAGGCAATAACGTCAGTAAGACGCAAGATGTGAAATCATATGAGAAAAAGAAAACGTTATTGAGAGAGGGAACAATACAAGAAGAGGAATTAAGAAGATAGAAGATAAGGATTTATATTGCATTAACATTTTTGAAGAATCCGGAATAGAGTTCCATAAAGGAGAAGTGCGACAGAAGAAACTGTTAGTATAGAACTTATAGTTCGCTTCCGGAGTAAGGAAGCAAGATGAAAATGGTGTGTATTTTCATCACGTACCAGAGACGAATTTAATATTACATCATGTAGGTATGCCTTTAAGCAATGATGTAATGCTCAATGCTAAAATATAGTAACTAAATCATGTGGGAAATTATATTGTTTAATAATGTTAGTTATAAAACAATACAAATCACTGAGTTATGGTTCAGAATCCTCACTTGGTTCCGATGTAGGTTCGGGAGAGAATGAAAGGATTACAGTTTTTTTATAATTTTCAAATCCACACCTTTAAATAAAGAACAAGATTCCTTGTATTGAATCGACAAACGATATTCAACAGTCTATATCTCAGTTATTCGAATAGCAGTGAGGAAGGAACTCGAGAATGAATGATTAATATAAGTTACTCTATCATTTAACAATACCATTTACTTAGAGAGTGAACCGCAAAAGAATGAACATATAAAGATTTTGGTAGAAAAAAAAGTTAGTTTTTCACTTGAAACAAAGAAAAGAGTACTGAAATATCATGTAATATCGGTACTCTTTTATGGCACTAAATTCTGGACCATCTCACCAAAGACAGAGAAGAGACTTGAGGCAATGGAAATTTGGTTCTACAGAAGGATGATGAAAATAGCATGTACTGAACACGTGAACAATGACTAAGTTTCAGGGGAAATGGAAACAAAGAAAGAGGCATGTATGTAGTATCAGAAAGAGACAGTTGAAATTTAATGGGCACCTAATGAGGAAAGAGGGTTTGGAAATTTTGACACTCACAGGACATCAGTTGCAAGAGGAACAAAAGGAAGCATCGCAAAAACTATCCCACGAGTACGTGTAAAAAAGCAAATGACAAAATTTGCTAATAATACAAAGTTGTGGAGGACGATGATCGCCCACGACTTGAAGGAGTAAGGCATATAAAAGGAGAACAACAAAAACTGCTGTGTTTTATTAACAATAGATAATTTGCATAAAGCATAATAAGGACTAATGAAATGTTTGCATTAATATCGATATATTGTAAAGCATATCAAAATTTAAAACGCAAATGTTTTGCACAAATTTCGAATCAATGAATCAAGACACATATTGCAGTTTCGGAAGACATCTATTCAAGTTATTATTTTCCAAATTTCCGATAAAGCGTTAATAACATTAGAACGCAGGAAGTGAAAGTGAAATTGAAAGTGAAACTGAAAGTGAAAGAAAAGACTGAGAATGGAGAGTATTTTTGCAAAAAAAAAGAAGAGGATTCAAGAAGACAGAAGCGATTGACGATCCATTTAATTTTTTGAAGATTGTATTTATCAGGTGAATAAGAAATTGTTAGGGTGTTCCACAGGTGAGAAGTGCGAGAACAGAAACTGTTAGAATAGAGGTGTCGTTTGCGTCTAGCTACTTCAACAGTAAATGGTGAGACGGAGTAGCCAATCTAGCGCTCTGAAATTCATGTAATAGGGGGACCAGAGAAAAATGCTCACAGATGATAGAAAAATTACAACAGTTACCTCGTCGGGACCCGGAAAGTCTGTCTGGCATATAGAAAACTTTCACAATGTAGATACTTTTTAATCATTTCACCCCAGGCAAGGTTATAAAGACACTACAAGCGGTTACTGAATGTTAGAGAATATGAAGAAGAAGAAAAAAAAACACTATTAGGTGAGAGAACAATAAAAGAACAATAAATAAGTAGGCACGAAGATACCGATTGGCATTGCATTTAAACTTTTCAAGATCAAAGTTGACTGGGTTGGAAAAAACCGGGAGAGCTTTTCACAAGCGAGACGTGCAATAGAAGAAACTGTTAGCATAGAACTTACGGTTATGTCTAACCAATTCCACTGTTAAATGCTGAAAGTTTTCCGTCAATCAAGTACTGTGCTTAAATTCATAAATTGTAGCTACCATAGAGGAGATTTTATTATAATTTTTGCCATAAAAGTATTTTTAGAAAAAGCAAGAGAATCTACGTTACGGTGGTGAGAAAGTGAGTGAAGGGGAGATGCTAGGTCAGGACCAATGACAGAGACTCTTCTTTAAAACTTGCTGCTATTTCGTGAGGTGATACTTGATCATCATCGGGGAATGAGATATGGATATATTTTTAATAATCCCATGATCTCCATCAATATGATTAGGGTGCGATGCAAAATGAAAGGAATATGGCCCCACTAAATATTTACTTCGAATAGGAGGTTCTCGTTAATTAAACGAATAGCTAGTTATTTTGTCAGAAAGTAGTGCACAAGGCATTTACAATGCAAGGAGAAACTCAGATGGCATAGAAGTAAGCAAGGGTAAAATTAGCTCGACACTCCATCAGATTGTTCTACCTTCTCGGACACCGACAATAGACGCTTCTGCTGAAGTCCAGACACATAAAAGCCCATCTCAAGAATTCACATTTGTTCTAAAACAAAACATTATAATCTAACGAGTCTGCTATCGAGAAAATTGCTGAATCTGTAAGCATTCTGTTTGTTTGTTTGTTTAGCAACATATCAACTCAGTACGGGTCCTTTAATGAGAAAATTTAATATTTCCTGGTAGCATTAGTAATTGCATTGATGGTAGGTTTTGAACAAAATATGAAAATATATTCCTAGTATTTTTACTATAAAAATTAATTTTTATTCTTTTATAATGTTTTGATCCTAGTTTCTTTTTTTAAGTATTTGCTCATACCTGCGACCTTAACAAGTGCTTCTACCCCGGGTCATATTAGACCGGGGAACAACAGCAATTCAGGCGTGGTTTTATGCTCCTTAAAGCCTCCAATTAGAGACCTTTCTGTCGGATGCAGTTTATCGTCATATTCAGGATGTCAGTTACTTAGTCCAGGATAGATAAATTAGTATAAATATTTACTTGCTTTCCTAAGGAATAAATATTGGTTGTTTATACATGAACCTGTTAACATT